GCAAATAAAACCCCCGGCAAAAGTTTCCAACAGAAAAGCGTAGCGCCTATAGGAATGAAGCGGGGAATTTGCATGTAAGACGTGGGGCGCCTGCCCCACAGCCATCAAAGAAGCGCCAGCCAAACCACAGCGAAAAGATACCGTGCCCGAATCAGCCCAACAAATTTCACGCCTGCCACCCGAAAAGAGCTGCGTCACCCAGCATCGCGCCTGCCACGCAGTTCGCACAGAGCGCACAGAACGTAGCGGCGAACCACGCGCCCCATACGCGGACCAAGACGCACAAAGACAACCGCCAGGCCCAACAGTGAGCCATCAAATGCCACACCTGCCACACAAAACGCAGCTTCATGATAGAGCTGAATGGGGCAATGAAATTTGGTAGAAATGCGTTTGATTTGATAAGCATAAGTTGTCGAGATCCATCGACATAAGTTTGATAAGAACTGGTTTCATAGAGGCAAGTTTCGTAAAAAGAACAGTTTCTGAGAGACGAGTTTGACGGAAATAAGTTCGAGAGAGGAGAGTTTGATAGCGAGAGATGCGAGAGAAAATTTTATAGAGAAGAGGGAAGAGACGGGAGAGGGAGAAGCTGGCGGAAGCGGCGGGATGCAGGCCGATGCAAAGATGTGGACAGCTGCCTCCTCTCGTGAGCCGGCTCTTCTCTCGTCTAGCTTTCGCCGCCTCGTCGGTTACCTACTTGAAATCCTGGTTTTGTTATAACTAGTTATGGAAGTTATGTTAGTTAGTAACTATGTATAACTTTTTTTTCGGCTTGCCTTTAGTGTCATTCCGCAGCATGATGAAAATTTATATTTTTAGTAAAAAAGCTGCTTTTAAAATTAAGATATGTAGATTTGCACCATGGACATACATGTTTTTTACATGTCCAGAAGCTTTATGTAAAAACAAAAACAACATGGGGAGCTGAGAAGCTCTTGCTGTAGACTCATGGAACATGTGAGCAGCAGCTTTTTTTCAAGCTTGGCAGTAGATTTGGTAAGGTAGCAGCACAGTGGCTCTTGCCTGGTCTTGATCTTTGCTGTATGGCACTGGAAACAAAATGTTGTTCATGGGAATCAAGCCAGTGGAGCTTCCAGTGTGGCATTTGGCATGGTGCTTCTCCAAGGTCTCAATGGTCCACATCTCAACCAATGTGGTTGCCATGCCAAACACATAGGCATGGAACAATACCTGGGCAACTTTCCAGCTGGATAAGCCATCACCATTGGAAAAAATGATGGCATCTCCAGAATGAATTTGGATACCTCTGAAAAGTTTTGCAACAGTGGATATTTTAGCTGTGCTGCATTGTTGGCTCATAAAAGGTGCCATGGCTGCAATCTCTTTGGGAGTGGCTTTCCTTTCCTTAACCAAATGGGCCACAGCTGGAAATACATTGGGCTCTTTCAAAACGCAAATTTCATTGGCCAGAAGTTGCTCCAGGAGGTGGGCCTCAAAACTCTGTGTCTTGAGGAGCCTGCTGGCGAAGGAAGCAATGGTCTTGTGCTTCCTTTCACATGTAAAACAAGATGGTAAGTGCCCAAACCTGGCATAGCTGTCAGGCAAATGCAAATGCCAGTGCCATTTCTTAATCATGGTGGCATCAGGCCATGCTTCTGGAAAGGCCTTGTTGGCTTCTTCCACAGCAGTGAGCAAAGATGATCTGGTAGCTGCCTTCCATTGGATCCCACCATGGCATTGGTCAATGACTAATGCCATTGCTAGAAAAGCTTTCATTGCCTTTGGACAAAGGCCTTTGGGTTGAAGAACACTTTCCACAAAATGCCTGATGATTGGAAAGATGGCCAAGCATTCTGATGCTGTGCAACTAAATTTCATGGCTTTCTTGGATTTCTCAATTTTCTTTGCTTGGAAAAGCACATGGACATATTGACATTTTTGGTGCTTAGGATATTGCCACACTTGGAAATACTTTTCCAAATACTGGTACACTTCAAAACCTTCTGCTGCAATGGCTTGGAGTGTATGGTGGAGCACTATTGGTGCAGTGCCTTGCAAGATTCCATGCATCCAATCGTGGCAAAATTGGGAAACTGGCTGCACCAGATTTTTTGATAATAAGTTCTGGTTCAGCATGATAGCAAATTTGCTGTAGCTGAGGCCAGTGGCTTGCTGCCACAAAGCAAATTCCTTTTTGTTGCAAGTGTCATGCCTCACATGGAGCCTCTGGTAGCTTGCCAATAGCTGCTGGTTTGTCACCAGCTGGAGTTGGCTATACCTTTTGGCATCACAATGCACTTCTTCTGGGTCAGCATCATTGCATGTTCTTTTGGCAGCATGGACATTGGCACATAGCAAGCAAAATTTGGTACCTGCATCCCCTTTAGATGACCAAACCAACTTTTGGGCTGCACCATCTGCAAGAACCATGTGGAAATCCAAGTACATGGTGATGTCACCGCTGGTGTCACCATGTGGGCCTTTGAGCTTGAAGCCTAGTCTTGGGTCAACCATGGTGGAGCAGAAGATGGATTGGAGCACATGGCCCATCATTTGAGCCACTCCACCATCTAGTGTGGAAACAAAAGTGGACCTTTCCACACTGATGGTGAACCATGCATCTTCTTGGGCAAGGTGGTCTTGGAATTGAGCTATGGTGCAATAGATGCACCAGACCTTGCGCTCAGCCCTTCCCAAGACATTTCCTGGAACAACTTCATCACAATAGATGATGATGCCCCATGGTTTCTCCATGGAACTTGGGTTTGACTGGTGTTGCCTCTGAATCAACTGGAACATGGACCCACCATGGTGGTATACTGCAGCAAGGTATACCAAGAAATTTGCATAAAACATGGTGGTGCAGCTGCCATCTTCCCTAAGAAGCTTGGCCTCTTGGATGAGGCTGCCCATTGCACCTCCATGGCATTCCTGGAGTAAAGCTTGCCTGGCTTCTTTCTGGTGGTTGCTGCTATGGAGCTCTGGTGCTCCTGATTTCTTTACTTCCTCCAGAATGGCTGCTAAAGCAGCTTGGGAATGGTTTGGTAGTTTGCTCTTGAATTGCAGGAGCTGGCTCAGCTTGGCTCTCTTATTGGCTGCACAACTGGGCATTGGTTCAAAGCCCATGGCTCTCTTATCCATGGCAGCTTTGTCCATGGTTATGAAATGGAAAAGTAAATTCAAAATGGAAGATTGTAAATCCAATTCCTATACTATAGCAGCTGGTTTTATGTTTGTCAATATATTGTGAAGCTGCATTGTGTTGGATCATGGGGTTGAAATATACTATAGCAGCATTGCTGTAAATTCTGCAGAGGAAAAACAACTTGACACATTGAGGCATTGACCATGGGAAGCCACAAGGCTGGTGAATCTTTGCAGCAAAGTGACACAGACCATGGCACATGGGTAGCCAAGAAGCTTTTGACATGCACAAACACAGAGCTGCAGTTTTTTTTCCATGGCTGCGCTCAATCCAATGCTTTGGCTCCACTGGGTTTCACAAGATTGTCTTGTGTTGGCACCCATCCCTGCAAAGCAAAGAAATTTGGTTTGGGAAGCTACTTTGGCTTTCCAAAGTGTGCCTTCCATGCAGCTCTGCCTGGGTAAATCTGGCCAGAAAACCCTGGCCTGCCACATGTGGAACATCCATCACCTCTGCACTTGGAGCAGCCTGGGCCAATGCCTGGCAACCTTGCTTTGCCTTTCAGCTTTGGCACTGTCTTGGCCTTTGCCTTTGTCTTGGCTGCAGGCTTGGCTTTGGCATGTGATGCTGCTTTCTGCTTGGATGTAGCTTGGCTTGCAGCAGCAAGGTCCATTTTGCTAGCTGGCCTTTTCATGGCTTTGCATTTGCCTTTCTGCAACTGTTTGAATGCATCCTCCTCCATGGCTTGCAAATTTGGTGGTTTGGCTCTGCTGTCTAGAGATGGTGTATTCTCATGAGTTTTTTCTGCTTCTGGCAGCTTTGGCTCTCCATGATCAGCAAACAAAGTAGCCTGTGGTGTGGCTACTGGCCTATGTTCAGCTAAGCTATGGCTGGAGCATGGGCCTCCTGTTGCAAAATTCACTTGGGCAGATTTGTCATGTTTGGCTAGCAACTCCTGGAGCAGTTCCTTGCTGGTCTTCTCATCACACATGGCATGTGTGGTGCCTCTAGCCACTTGGCTAGTTTGGAGCATCTTGTTGGTGGACCTGCAAGCAACTTTGTTCATCCAAACTGCCATTGGCACTTGCTTGTTTGGCAAGCAATCTGTGCCATACACTTTCTGGATCCATGTTGTTCCCATATCTTGGGGGTTGCTGGGGTATGTCCTTGGCCCTTGTGTTTGTCTATGCATTGTCTCCAGGCACTGGCTATGCAGAGCTTGGAAATCAGCCAGGCAATTGTGGATGGTCATGGCATTGGGTTCTGGCTTACCTAATTGGCTTTGGCAATACAAGGAAAGAGCCACAGCTTGGGCCTTGGTATTTTCCCTCAAGCTTACCACTGCCATTGTGGCAAGCCTCTTGGCAATCACATGCATGTGGTCATAAAGGGTGGCATTGGTTTCCAATTTTGTCCAATCTGTCTGAGACATGTAGGCTGGTAAATTATGGATCACTTGGCCAGCCTTGATCACCTTAAGTGCTTGGGATGAGCCAATGGTCAACTTTTCCAAGCACTCATGGAACTTGGCTTTCATGCCATCTGGAAGGCTCAATGTGTCAATATGGTTGATCAACTCCAAAATTCCATGGCTGGTCCAGCTGGTGACAGCTTCGACTTTTCCACACCAGGTGGCAGCCATACCTTGGACCACAGGACTTCCTGGCCTCTTCTGATGCAAGGCAGCTAAATGGCTCAGTTCTTCCTTGAAGTCAGGAATTGTCCATAGGTTGCTCATGGCTATCCAAACAAATTGTACAGGGATGATGCTGCAATGTTCAGTTGGCCAAAACAGCTAATGGTATGATGTGCTTCTGATTGTTGGCAAGAAAAAATAGAATGTAGGCAAAATGTCCATGTTGCATATGAAGCTACCTGTGTATCATAAGCTTTATATATGGTCTATTGTATCCAAGTGTTTGATACATGGAAGATACAATTCAAGGGGAAGCAAAGCACATGGGGAACCATAAATAAACAAACCACATATGGGATGAGCAAGTAAAGTATAAAGTGGTTTAAGAAAACATGAAAGTGACATGGGAGGCCAAGAGGCATTTGCTATAGAGGCAACATGCACAACATGGGAAGCCACTTGGCTTTTGTTGGAATGTGCAAGCACACAGCTGGACAACTCATGGCAAAAACATGGACAGCACATGGGAAGCCAAAAGGCTTTTGGCAGCAAGCTCTCTTTTTGGCCTGCAGGATGCTGGCATCTGGGAATGGTGAAACTATCCCTGGGTCCACCAGTCTGGCTGGCGCAAGTCACTCTCATGGCTTCACTGGTAATGACAAGCTGGTCAAAGTGGGGGTCTGCCCTCCATGTGGCTATCATCCCATCAATCTTGGCCCAATTCTGTTGGTTGTAGTGGTGGACCAAGCTGTAGGCATTGCCTTGCCATGACCTTGGAGGGGCAATCATGGCTTTGCTGGTAATGCCCTGCATCCTGGTTTGGCCCTGTTCCAGGTCAGTGGTGAACTGGACAATGGCATTGGTGGTCACATCAAAGTTTTGGGCAATCCAATACTTGGTGAAGAATGCCAATTTGTTCTTCCACCCAGTGGCTTTGCCTGCTGGTTTGGATTTGCCTGGCTGGCCTTGCTTCCATGAGGATGGCCCACTTGGTGTTTGCTTTGCCTTTGCTGGCTTTTTTGGTGGTGTCTGTGGTGCTTTTGGCTGTGATGGTGGTGCCTTTGGCTCTGATTGTGGTGCATTTGCTGGTAAGAGTGGTAGATGCTTGGCATGTGATGAACTTGCTGGTGTAGAATGCTGTGATGGTTGTGATGCAGTTGCTGGTGTCCTTGGAACATCTGGAGATGCAATTGGCATTGCTTTTGTAGCTTGCCTGCTGGCTTGGGAGGCTGGGTATCCTCCTTGCGAAGCAGCTTGAGGTGGTGCTTGGCTGCCTGGTTGCTTGGCCTTGGCCTGGTGGACAGGTACAGCTGGCACTGGTGCACTGCTGGTACTGCTGGTAGCTGCTAACTCAGCTTGGTGCTTTGGGGCTTGTGCAGACTTCTTGGCTGCCAATGGTGGCCTCTTTGGTGGTGTCTTGGGAACCATTCTTCCAATGGCAGGAGGCACATATGGTGGTGGTGATTGGGGGTCACCATCTGGTGGAGAAGTTGGAGAATCTTCTGCCATGTCTTCAAAGGTGGCTTTTGGAGCACCAAGGGCTTGGAGAGCCATGGCAGCCTGGTTGGGCCACCCATCTTCAGCCATCATGGCTGCAATTTCTTTTGGCCTCCAAGCCTTGGCATCAATGGCTGGTGGCCAACTCTTGGCACTTCCTGGGCTCTTTGGTGGAGCATTGATACCTGGACTCTTTGGTGGGCTCCTGGGTGGTGGTGACTTAGTCACATTGGTGGAGCTGCTGCTGGAGGAGTCCATATCTGTGGATGGAGCATCATCATCACCCATGGCATTATCCATGGCTGTGGGCAGGATTGGCAAAAAAGATTTGGTGATATAAGAAACATCATCCAAAGTTGATGACAAATTTGGCTGGATCATGTCACAAACTTTTATGTTATTGTGAGTGGTTGCATCCAGCTGACTAATATCACTGGTGCTTGAACCAAAATAATATAGTCATATTATAAACAAATAGTGCTGGTTGGACTCTATTATGCATATGCCATGGTCATAGCATTAGTTGTCCAAAATATGTAAAACCCAATGATATGAAACATTGATGGAATCAATAAAATATGTGTTGTTTTCTTTATATTCATGAAATGCAAGTTATGGCTTTTAATATATCATGGTATGGGATGCCACAATGGCTTTTCTTTGTAACACACATGGCATGGGAGGCCATATAGGCTTTAATTATGTAACATGGGATGCCATGTAGGCTTTCAAAACATTTCAAATATTTCAAAACATTAACAATATATAATATTTTCACATAAAACTATGTTTTAAACCAAAACCAAACCACTACATGTAGTTGATTAATTTTAAATAGAACAAGCAATACATACATATATATAACCAAAGAATATAATTTAATTGCATGATAAAATTCTAAAAAACATGAAATAAGTTGAAATGTAATCAACAATAATGTTTGCTAATATCAAAATTATTATTTGTTAGATATAAATTTGTGTTTGATCATTGCTTGCACAAACATTTAAGCAACAAAATCTTTAGGTTCAAACATAAAAATTCAATTACAATAATTAAATATTTGAAATATATGAATAATTTGTTAGGTTCAGCAGCTGAACCTAAATTTTACATTTTTTCCCTTAGGTTCAGCAGCTGAACCTAAAAATCAAAAATAACAGTTTAAGGTTCAGCAGCTGAACCTAACTGCCAATATTTTGCTGTTAGGTTCAGCTGCTGAACCTAACTGCCAAAAGTTAAGATTTTAGGTTCAGCAGCTGAACCTAAATGCACAAAGATATTAGATATAGTTTCAGCCGTTGAATCTAAAATTTTATGTAAATAAATTTAAATTCAACAATCCAAACAGTGTTTTATTTTTTAAATGCTTACCAAATTATATCATTTGACATGGAACCAGCTTGAAAATGAGCCCAAACACATTCAAATCCAAACTAACTCTACACACCAATACAAAATATTATTATATAGAAACAATATCATGCTATATATTCAGTATATATAATAATAATAAATCTATACATCCACACTGATTGCATTGTTAAAGAAATATATATCACAAACAACTACAACACAAAAAACAGTAAGATGAAAGATTTATTTATTTGACTTCTTAATTATTATTATGCAATATTTTTTCCAACAGTGCTGGCATTGATGTTGGCCCTTATTGGTTTGGATCCCATGTCTTATGGGGTCCCAGTTGGAAGAAACTCTCAACCCATGGCTTCTGGCACTGGCTGCACCTCTGGTAGTTCTGGTTCCTGGTCTTGAGCAGGTACAGCCATGATGGGCAACTTGGTGTGGCACACTGGAGGGACCACCAAGTGGGGTCATCAGCAATGTACTTGGTCAAGTCCATGACTGCTGGTGGCCCTGGTGCCCAATTGTCTGCATGGTATTGGTAGTTGGCATCCATGTTGGTTGCAGTGTCAGTGGCCATCTGGCTCTGTGCATCTGGTGTGCCAATTGAATTTCCCATAGCTGGAGTGAAGGTGGTATGAGTCTGTGACTGCAAGTCTAAGCACTGGAATGGCTATGAATAAGGAAAAAATATTGTTCACAATGGAACTGGTATGAATTTGAATGTGCAAGCAAACCACATCAACAATCTGCAGGTCTGAAGTCTGGAGAAAGTGGACTTATGGTAATGCCAATGGCTTTGAGTCCATGATATTTGCATAACCCCTAAATGGTTTAGCATGAAATGGGAAGCCAGTGATGGCTTGTGGTATTCAGCTGTAAAACAAACAATGGTAAAACAATCCAACATCATGTTTTGGATGCCAAAAAAACATGGGATGCCATGATGGCTTTCACCCCTGCCCATCCCAGCTCACCCAGAATAACATTTTTTTTGGCACACACAAGTTGCAAAGCTCATGTCTGGCAATGGTGCTGGCCATACATGGCTGGTGCTGGCCATCCTATGGCTGTGGTGCAGCCATTCCATGGCACTAGCTGGCAAAACCGATATGGTCTATGGTACAGGCCCATCACTTCTTGGCTGCTTTCATGGCCTTGGACTTCATGGCATCCTTGGCCTTCATGGCCCCAGTGGCCTTCTTCACCTTCATGGCCTTCATGGGCTTCATGGCATGCATGGCCTTCATGGCTGCATTGGCCTTGGCCTTCTCCATCTGGGTGTCCTGGATCTCCTTGGCTGTGTTGGCTTTCTTAGCCATTTGGTTTCTGGGAAGGTCCTTCCATAGCATGGACCCCCCCTGGTTGAAACTCTGGATCCAGGGTTGCCCGCAGATGGTGCAGCAGGCATGGAAGCCAACCTTCCTTTGGAACACCCATGAGCCACAGCCTGGGCTGGTGCAATGGAGCACCATGTTCCATACCAGAAGGCGCTCTGGTTCTGGTTCTTCTTGGGCAGCAGCTGGTTTCTTCATGGCACTGCTGGCCTTCATGGCCTCCATGGTGGCATTCTTCATGGCCTTCATTGACTTCATGGTGGCTTTCTTCATGGCCTTCATGGTTTTCATGGAAACCTTGCTGGGAGCCATGGCTGGTCTGCTTGGAGAAGAAGGCACCTATTGGTGGTCACAGGCAAGCTTTGGGCTTTTCAATGGCTTCCAAACAGTAAAAACATTGGCAACATGCAAACATATATGAAACACATGGTTTTTGTTTTTGTTTTCATGTGTGTTCAAATGGTTTATGAACAAATGTTTTATGTATATATATAAATGCAACAACATCATGCATGGTCATGTATATGTTGGTGTCATGAGAAAAAATATTTAACCATGGTGTTAAAATGCAACATGGGATGCCACAAAGGCTTTATGGGAAGCCATGAGGCTTTTGCACACTGGCTTTGGGCATGGCATGGGTGGCCACAATGGCATTTGCAAGGCTGTCATGGCACTGTCCAGCAGCTTTTTTGGACACCACAAAAGGTCATGGCTGAGCTCTTTGGCAAAGACCATGGAACATGGCACTCTAGCATGTCTGGCTTCAGGGCCTGGTAGAGCACCAAGTGGATGGAATCATGGAAACTATATGCATGGTTGGTTACTAATATGGGCAGCCAATAGGCTTGTACACCAACAATTATGGCCAATCAATGGCAAACCAAATCTTGGAAACACATGGGGGGAAACAAATTGGTCCTATAACTATTTGTATATATATATATATATGTACATGCATATATATATATATACACATATATGCACATATATATATATATGTGTTAGCCTATGTAAATTTGATGGTATATATCTAAACCATAAAAGGTCAATGTGAATATGCGTATACTTATAATATATATATATACATATAGAGTAAATTCCTATTATCATATGGTATGATGTTTGAGGAACATGCACAAGCATTGGAAATCAACTGATGGCCTTTGGTGTTCTCCTCCAAAAGCAGTGTGGTAGAATATGTGGTCTTCCTCTTGGCCAATCTCTTCCAGGTCTGGGTAGCAGTTCCTGCAGGAATCAACACCATATATGGCCAACAAAGTGGTAGCAAAAATTTAGCTAGCAGAAGCATGTGTTGCATGGTGCAAAATGGCCTCTGGACAATGAACTGGTTGTTGACCACCAGTTGGATGTATCTCCATGGCCATTGGTCCCAGCTGGCCACCACCCTTGGGTCCATCTGGGATTTGGCTAGCCTCACAGGAACAGTGGGTGGATTGAAACTTTGTTTGGTTGCAAAAAACATGGTTCCACATTGGTGCCAAGCAACCAAGTTTGCCAACCATTGGTCCAAACCAGGACTCTGTACCTCCTGGTGTCAAACACCCTCTGGATCCTATTTCTGCATGGTGCCCTGGTGTTACCTCTATTCATGGCTTGGGCCTTGGCTGCAGCAACAAAACAAATGGTACTTGCACAGGCACATGCCTGCCATGTCCCATACATGGGTGGCCATGAGGCTTTTGATATGAACTGTGAAACACTGTTTGCTGGCATTTTGCCACATGTTTTGGTGCCATGCATGCATGGGAACCATTTTTTCAGCTGCAAATGGGTGTCTGGGAACTATGCTGTAGCCTTTCTTTTCTTGCCCTGTGACTTAGCTTTGGCCTTGGCCTCAGCTTGGCCACCCTCATCTCTGTCAGGCATAGGATAAAGCAATGGCTGGTCCTTCTCAATGGGTGCCTCATTGGTCAAAATTGGAATCTTGATGGTGTCAATGGTCAGGTGGGAGATGGACATGTTGGCATCCTCCTCCTCCTCCTTGGTTTTTCTGCACCACCAAAATGGCACCAATGGGCAATCTGGATTGTCAAAGTGTGCATCTGGTTTCCATTGCTGAATTTGCCACTGGTGACCAAAAGCTGCCACAACAACCATTGCATTGGTGACCTTCTCAGCCTTGATGTAGGCAATGGTGCCCAATGGCACCAATTTCAATTGGTGCTTCTTGGGAACTTTGGTTTTGGTATACAATCCTGTGGGGTTGATGGTGAAAGCCACCTGGCTTTCTGTCACCTGGTGAGCTTCCATGGCCTTGTGCAAGGCCATGGCTACTTGGAGCTTTTGGTACTCCATCTGGACCATCATGTGGTTCTGGGGCAAAGCAGCATGTGCATAAGTTGGGTCACACATTTTAGGCATTCTTGCTTTGGTTGGCTTCCACAACTTAAGGTTTTTGTGTGGCACCTTGACTTCCAACTCAGGGCCAAGGATTGGCTGGTGGAGCATGGTGGCATGGGAGCCATCAATCTTCATAAATATGAACACCTTCTGCTCATGGTCCTTGGGGTTGCAATACCTTGGCTTGCTCATGATGACAATGGTGCAACAATTTGTTGCACAACACAACAAAACATACTATGACAAGGCACAGGTAACCAATCTTCAGATGGTTGTTCTGGATCAAAGCCATGGTCTCTGGTGTGGCTGTGAGCAAATCCTTCACTTCTCTGGTTTCAGGCTCTGTGGGTGCAGCTGCAGAACTTTGGCTGCATTCTGTGGATTCACAATCTTTCTTGAACTGCTCCAAGATTTCTTGGATGGAAGTCCAGTGCTTATTGGTTTCTCTGGAATTCTTTTGCTTCTGGCAGATGAAGAGGATCACCCTGATGGCCAACTTTCCAAAACACTTCTGGTAGTGGCCTTCTTGGATCTTCTGGCTGTTGGCTTGGTCACAATTGGCTAGTTTCTCAATGGTATTCCATGCATCTGCCAAGATGGTCTCAGCTTCCATTGTTTTGGGGATGGTCTGGTTGCTTTTGAGCCTGTCAAGGTCAGACTTGGACAAGATCTTGGCAAATCCATCTATGGCTTTGTGGTTGCCAGTGGCCATGGTGGTCCATGCTGCAAGTCGAATGAATGGGAACAGCTGGCCTGGCACCTTGAAGTCCATGTTGGCCAGGGTGGCCATGAGCTCCTGGCCTATCATTAAGGCATTGCCAAATTGCTTGGCAAAGGTTGCCAGAAAGAAAATCAATGGAAATGATTTGCCACCTGCGAACTTCTGGACATATGTGGTGACATCTCCCAAGCTGGCTTGGCACTTGATGTCGCCTTCCTTGGCTCTTTTCATGGCCTGGGCTAAGTCCAAGCCTTGGGTGAATGGTTGCTATAGTGGCAGCAAGCTCCAATTCTGTTTGTGGCTTCCCAATGGAATTGGAGCTGTTCATGCCCAATTGGAGCCATGTTGCCAATTGTGGAATGGCTTCTTCCACCACACTGGAAATCACCACCCATAGCCAGCCTTGGTCAATGCATTGCCAGCTGGCATCTGCCTTGGGGACTTCAGCTTGGTGGCCATCAGGGCCTGGCACTCCTGCCTCCATTGCTCTCAAGAATGCCACAGTGTGACTGCTGGACAAAGAAAGGAAGCCTGCACTGGATCCAAATAGTGTTTTTCCAAGCAACATCAAAAAAAAGCAATTTCTGGGAAATGGAAAAACAAAATGAAGCCAAGAAACGCTCTTGGCCACTCACTGGTGCCAAATGGCCCTGTGAATCTTTCACCAATTGCTGGTTCTTGGCAATTTGGTCACTTCTCTTGGTTGATTTTTTGGACACTTCCATGGCAATGGAGCCATGGAGAAGCTTCTTCTGGAGCCCAACAGACAGCATGGCTTTGCCTTTGGACCACACATCATAGAAACTAAGCATGGCACCTCCTCTGTTGGAAGGGTGGCAAAGAATGTCCTTGGGCTGAATGGTCATCTTCTGGGCCCAGCCATTGCTTTCCAATATGGTCAGCACCTTTTCAATCTTATGGTAAATGCCATCTGTACCAGCCATGGTGGCTTGGACCTCTTCAACCACTTGCTGGGACACTGCATCCATGGCAATTGCAGCTCAATGGCAGAACCAATTGACTGGCATGGTCCTGAGCATATATGAATCAACCATGGAGAAAAATTATGTGAGAAAAACATGCATATGTTTCCTTTCATGGGAAGCCACTTGTTTGGCTTTGGAACATGAATTGCAAACTGAATGGTGCTTGGCATGTATGGGTAGCCATTAAGGCGTTGGCTGCAGCTCTTTTTTTCCATCTCCCAACAAACACAATCCACTTAATATACAAGCTGCCTCACTTCTGTCTCTTGTGGCATCTGGTGGGCTGCTCCAAAGCAGTGGTAGTGCTTGGCCTCAAGTGGCAAATCACTGGGTCCATGTGGTCTGGCTCCAGTAGAACTGCAAGGTCAGATCTGGCTGGCCTCTTGCCAGATACCAAGCAATCCACAAGTTTGTCACCCACAGTGATGGTCACCACACTTGGTGATGGTGCAGCAATCCTTTGTTTCTTGGCTGGTGGATCTGCTTCCTGCTGGTCAAACAAACTATTGCCATGGTCGCCTGGATCTTCACAGTGGACTTTCTTGATCTCTTGGTTTCTGGCTTCAATGAGTTGCCTCAATGGCTCCAGCTGTGACAAACTGGCATTCCTCTTTGGCTGCCCACCATGGAGAAGGCAAATGATTGGCTGGGATGTTGGTCTCACTTTGAGATACTTCTGGCCTTCATGGTGCAAAATGAGGCTATGTGGGATGAGCACTGGCTTCTCCTCTTGGTACTGAATTTCAATGGCTTCCTTGATGGAGACCATGGCTGAACCAGTTGTATAGGATGGCAGGAGATTGGCACACCAATTGGTTTGAACAACTTGGCTGTCTCAAAGGAAAATATATATGCAATGCATGGCATGGGAAGCCAATAAGCTTTCGATTTGTTTGCCATGATGTTGCCCCTATGCATTTCATTGTTGTTTGAAAGAAAAAAGGAAGAAAAAACATTCTGTGAAAATCAGAACTTGCTACCAAACACAAAGAACCTTTCCACATAAATCAATTATATCATGATTTTTTTCTAAATTATTTTTCCTTTTGCTTCAAAGTTTGTTGCAGTCTAGATGAAAAGTTTACTTTCTCCACACCATATTTTTGATATGGCTAACTCTGCTAACTTTGATAAATATTTAGGGAAGTTAAGTTGAGTTAGCTAAATAAATAAAAATGATACTAACTTATGTTAACTTAACATAACACTTATACTTAGTTGTACATAGTTAAAACATAGTTAACACATAGTTAACACATAGTTAGAAGTAGTTATTAACAATGATTAACTAACATAACTTCCATAACTAGTTATAACAAAACCAGGATTTCAAGTATGGTTACCTCATCATCCTCGTCCCCTGTCCTCTCCGAAGCTACCACTTCTTTTGTGCTACCCTTCTCCTTGCTGCCACTTCTCTTGAGCCACCGCTTCTCTTGAACTACTGTAACTCCTCTCTTGGGCCGGCTCTTCGCTGAGCTATATATTATATAATATATTTACAGTACATACTTCTTCTCTTTTGCCACCTCCTTCTCTGCGCTACCTCTTTCTCTGGCGTCCTCTTCTCTGAGCAATTTCTTTTCCAAGCCACTTCTCCGGAAATACCTTCTCACAAGCTGCCCGTTACACCCTGCCACGCTTTCCATAACTTGGATTCTTTCTCTACAGCAAGCCGTCAAAAAACTGGGCCTGGGAAGGCCAAGGCAATCAGTCTGCTCTGGACACGTATACTAATATACCCACATGATGTTACATCATCGTAAACCCAGATAGTCTGCCAAGAATATCCTTTTCTGGGTTGATCATGATTTTTCCCGAGAGTGTCTGAGCGCAGGGTTCTTCCAATAGTGGGGGTCTGTATCTCATCTTCTCATCTTCACACCTTCTCATCTTCACACCTTCTCTCACACCTTCTCATCTTCACATCTTCTCATCTTCACACCTTCTCATCTTCACATCTGCTCATCTTCACATCTGCTCATCTTCACATCTTCTCATCTTCACATCTGCTCATCTTCACATCTTCACATACTCACATCTTCACTTTCTCTCTCTCGCACTCACATCTTCACATACTCACATCTTCTCTCTCTCTCTCTATCTCTCTCTCTCCTCTTTCCTCTCTCCTTTCTCTCTCTCCTTTCTCTCTCCCTTTTCTCTCTCTCGCCTTCTTTATCTTTCTCTCTTTAGGCCGAGGGTGGTGCCGGCGGGGAGTCACGAAACGCCAACCCTTTCGCACGAAATGAGGGCCGATCGTCAAAAACTGAGGAAAACATGCGATTTTACTTCCCTTTCGCACGAAATGAGGGTCGATCGTCAAAAACTGAGGAAAAAATTGCGAGTTTACTTGTCCTGGAGCAACCCTTTCGCACGAAATGAGGGTCGATCGTCAAAAACTGAGGAAAAATTGCGAGTTTACTTGTGCCGGAGCAACGCTTTCGCACGAAATGAGGGTCGATGCGCAAAAACTGAGGAAACAACTGAGGTAAAATTGCGATTTTACTTGTGCCGGACTTGTCTGTGTGTAAAAGCGTCTGTGTGTAAAAGCGTCTGTGTGTAAGAGTCTCTGTGTGTAAAAGTGTTTGTGTGTAAAAGTGTTTGTGTGTAAAAGTGTTTGTGTGTAAAAGTGTTTGTGTGTAAAAGCGTCTGTGTGTAAAAGCTTCTGGGTGTAAACGTCTCTGTGTGTAAAAGTGTTTGCGTGTAAAAGTGTTTGTGTGTAAAAGCGTCTGTGTGTAAAAGCGTCTGTGTGTAAAAGCGTCTGTGTGTAAAAGCGTCTGTGTGTAAAAGCGTCTGTGTGTAAAAGCGCCTGTGTGTAAAAGCGTCTGTGTGTCAAAGCGTCTGTGTGCAAAAGCGTGTGTGTGTAAAAGCCTCTGTGTGTAAAAGCGTCTGTGTGTAAAAGCGTCTGTGTGTAAAAGCGTCTGTGTGTAAAAGCGTCTGTGTGTAAAAGCTTCTGTGTGTAAAAGTGTTTGTATGTAAAAGTGTTTGTGTGTACAAGCTTCTGTGTGTAAAAGCTTCTGTGTGTAAAAGCGTCTGTGTGTAAAAGCGTCTGTGTGTAAAAGACTGTGTGCAAAAGCGTCTGTGTGTAAAAGCGTCTGTGTGTCAAAGCGTCTGTGTGTAAAAGCGTCTGTGTGTAAAAGCGTTTGTGTGTAAAAGTGTTTGTGTGTAAAAGCGTCTGTGTGTAAAAGCGTCTGTGTGTAAAAGGCTCTGTGTGTAAAAGCGTCTGTGTGTAAAAGCGTCTGTGTGTAAAAGAGCCTATGTGTAAAAAGCGTTTGTGTGTAAAAGCGTCTGTGTGTAAAAGCGTCTGTGTGTAAAAGCGTCTGTGTGTAAAAGCGTCTGTGTGTAAAAGCTTCTGTGTGTAAAAGTGTGTGTGTGTGTAAAAGCTTCTGTGTGTAAAAGCGTCTGTGTGTAAAAGACTCTGTGTGCAAAAGCGTCTGTGTGCAAAAGCGTGTGTGTGTGTAAAAGCGTGTGTGTGCGCGTGTGTGTGTAAAAGCGTCTGTGTGTAAAAGCGTCTGTGTGTAAAAGCGTCTGTGTGTAAAAGCGTCTGTGTGTAAAAGCGTCTGTGTGTAAAAGCGTCTGTGTGTAAAAACATCTGTGTGTAAAAGCGTCTGTGTGTAAAAGCGTCTGTGTGTAAAAGCTTCTGTGTGTAAAAGTGTTTGTATGTAAAAGTGTTTGTGTGTACAAGCTTCTGTGTGTAAAAGCTTCTGTGTGTAAAAGCGTCTGTGTGTAAAAGCTTCTGTGTGTAAAAGCGTCTGTGTGTAAAAGTCTCTCTGTGTAAAAGCGTTTGTGTGTAAAAGTGTTTGTGTGTAAAATCGTCTGTGTAAGAGCGTCTGTGTGTAAAAATTGAAGCTTAGACATAAGCGCTACTTTTAAGAAGCATGAGTGGGATGAGAGGACTGGTCAATCCTGGGGCTCAAGGCTTTTTCCCAGGTGGCAGTGACTAGGTGTTGGGTTGGAACCATGCTCCGACCTTTAGTGGGCCTAGTGTTACTCGTGCATGGCAACTCTGGATGGTGGGCACCGGCGAATGCCACCGACCCGCCGGAAGGACCATGGAAGGCCTGGGCAAGAACGAAATCCCCGAGACTTGTGGAGCAGATGGACACCTTCCCTGATTCCATGGACGGTGTGCGAACAACGTTGCTGGATTGGGGTTGGCAAGGATGGGACCGAGGAATTTGGTCCTTGGCCGACTGGTGATCGCCGTCCTGATGACGGTGGCGTGGATCGTCAGGAGAGCTGTTCGGATAGCTGGCCGCTTGATGTATCATCTGCAGCGTTTCTTTGGTGGAACGCCAGAAGCTGTGGATGCAGAGTACCATGGTCCTGGAACAGGATCCACTCCCGAGACTGCAGAGCTCCGGAAGTTCAAAGCTGGCAGCCATGACAAGTGGATCGTGTTGAAGAGAGCGCAGGACGTTGTGGTTTTTCGGGTGGGGTCTGAAGCTCAGGCCATCCGTTCTAGTGGTATGTATGTGGGAGTGGAACCTGACAGTATGAGAGGTTCCCCTGCTTTGATGGCAGAACTCCATGGCCACGACCGAGTTCATCTTTGTCGCAACGAGTCTTGTCCAGAGGATGGGCAACACTTCAAGGTGTATGGGTTAGCCAAGAAGTACGACCCGGAGAAGTTCGAACTTGCACTTGCAGCTGAAGGCGCCAAGCAAGCAGGCAGTACGCTTTGGCGCTGGGCGTGGGCTGGTGGAAAGGTGGTCAAGGACAGGATGGCAGATTTTGGTTCAGAATCTGAAACGGAACATCTTCCTCGCAACGCTCACAGGGTGCGCTGGTCTTTGGACGGAGGTGATGTTGTACTGAGCGCCGGGCCTTGTACAGAGTCAGCTAAGGAGCAGGTCACGCTTCTTGCTGAGGATGAATTTCAACCACATGCTGTAGGTAGTTTTTGTCCCACTCATGCCAACAAGTACCTTTGTACTAGGTATATTAAGAAGTGTTGTCACACTGGTTGCAAGCGCTTAGGGAAGGCTTCAGCTTCGGGTGTGAACGTGTGTTGGGCACATGAGCAAGAAGGGATCGGCAGACGTTCTCGCTCCCGCTCTCGGGACCGACGTGCACGGGCAGACAGTGATGATGGCCAAGAACGTGATCGAGATCGCGGAGGCAGTCCTCCGGGAGAAGGTCAACGCGTTCCGGATGGGGGCTACCAAAGTCTTTTGGACGAGCTGAAGGAGATGCGTGAAAGTCTTCCCAAAGAAAGGGATGGGGAAGGCCTCGAAATCACCAGGGGTGACCCCGAAGTCATCGGTTCACAGGAGCTTGGCAAGGTTGGGCATGCTAGACTCACCAGACGGCGGGGATCATCGCAACTGGCTGGAGGAGTTCTTTGAGCGCTACACACAAGGGCGAGATGTTGGTTTGTCAGAGAACCAGGTTCGACGAGCTATGGCTGAGGAGAAGGGCATGGGCATTTCTGAACTTAGCCGAGTTTTGCATCGTTTGGGATCAACAGAACAATCGAGAGGACAGAAAGGGCTGACAAAGTTTCTATCCAAGTGGAAGGTGGACTTTGAGGATGAAGAGGATGTGGCTTTGGGTGCGTCCGACGCCAGTTCCATACCGAGATCATGGAGCGTTCTCAATTCCGAGTCCCCTGGGAAGGTGTCGACTCCGCCGGGTTTGGCAGAAACCCCACCACAGGTGCTGGAGAAGTCGGGCACCAGGTTGGCCATTGGGGCCCCTACCATTTATGGCAAAGGCGACAGACGAGCTGGTGCGGCATCAGGCAGTGGCGCAGACCCTATGGCAGCTTTGGCACAAGCAATCCAGTCACAGACCGTAGAAATAGCATCTTTGGTCAAAGCACAGACGGAAGTGTCTAGCCATCCTCAAGGTTCCGTGAAGGGCATCAATCGTCTGTCAGAGGAGATGATATACATCATGCGAGCATGTGACCAGTACAATGTTGCAGTTTGTCCAGGTGAAGTTGGAGGAGCTTTGGCAAATGCGCTGATGGCGGCACAGATTGGCGCGGCTACCAAGCTGAGGGCTATGGGTTTTCGCCAGAGGATGACTCAGAGGCTCGCGGTTGGTATTGCAGGGCCATACTGGGGCTCGCAGGAGAAGTTCTGCCTTGGAGCGTCGGACTTTATCCACTACACGGACGCTGAGTTGGACGCCTTTGCAACAGACCGTCAGGTGAAGACGGGGGTTGAACAGCGACCGGCGGCCCCCACCAAGTTGGAGGAGTGGACAGCCAGGGCAAGGAGACAAAATCAGGTGTGGTGCCTGGTCTATGGCGCTGCATGGAAAGAGGTGCGAGAGCATGCCTTGGAGACTTTGGCCGAATGGCACCAGGAATGTCCTCACAAGTGGCCTCTCAACGTGGTGATGGATGCATGGGAGGAGCTGCACTGGCGTTTCTTGGAGGAGGTCAAGGAGCTGATCCGAGCGCTGAAGAAGGTTGCAAAGAGGGAGAGCATGAGCCAGCAGGAGATGAAGTTCTACTGTATGCACTGTTGCCCGGTCCAGACGGGCGCGCATGGCTGAGCTTGCCCAACACTTTCGACATCAAGAACCCGGAGGGCTGGTTCAAAACCGAGTTGGAGCCTCGCATTGAACGACGTCAGGAGAGAACTTTGTGGAGATTGACATGGGATGGAGGTCGCCGAGACAGAGGGCAACCAGCCGGAGGAGTCCAAAGTGCGGGACAAGCAGCCGGAGGTGATGGTGGACAAGGAAAGGCAAAGACCTTGCTCGGGCCAAAACTTTCTACTGAGGAGGTCAACCGGGCCCGGGATCGAGCACCAGTCGACAAGAACGGGGTCTTGCTTTGTTGGGGCAACCTGACTCACCAAGGATGCAATGTGGCTCAATGCCAGAGGTCCCACGAACCTTTGAGGGGCCAGTTCGAGCAGTTGGACCCCTGTGTTCGCATGCAACTCATTCGCAGAGGAGGTCTGAAAAGGATGCGCCTTGAGACGAAGGAGTCAGCGGAGTACAAGATCAAGGAGCTGCGCACTGGAGTGGCGACAGACAAGACAGAGAAGATGGCGAAGCCCAAGCGTAAGGCTGGAGAGGCGGAGGCCCAGTCAGGACCTGAAGAGGGTGACGGTGGAAAGGCCGGTGGCACCACCTACCAAAGGGTTCGTTTTTGGGATGTTCCTGAAGAGTTTGAAGCTGTGGACTACACGAAACAGGAGGACGTGCAGGAGCTGGTGAAGGCACCCGACCAAGATTGGGCAGTCCCTGCTTCCCATCAGGAGCGTGCTTACCATGGTGGAGAGGATGATGCCCCAAGCGATGCGGTGGCTTTGATGAATGAGGCCAAGCGTCTTCAGGAAGGGCCAGTGTTGCAAGCGTTGGCAGAGGCATCAAATGACTTGTACGCTTGGGCTGCGACGAGGGTGGCAAGGGAGCCCGCTTTAACCCTTGAGGAGCTCCTTGAGGAGATGCAGATGTACGGAGCGTCAGATCTGGCCCATGAAGCTGCAGCTTTGATGGAGAGGCAACCTGAGGGTGGAAAGGCCGGGGAACAACCACGGCTCACGGTGAGAGACACCATGTGGGCCCATGGAGAACCAGGTCAAGGCAGTGTCGAAGTAGATGGTGTGGTTTGGCGCACATGGGACTACCTCGAGGACGTGACGATGAACGATGAGTTGGCATCGGTCCTGGGGGTTGCTGATCCGGGTGAGGAGAAGAGGCAGTGCGTCACTAAAACCATGGCAGCCGGAATTTTGTGGAGAAGACTCGGCCGCCGGCCCACCATGGCTGAGGTCGTGGAAGAGGCCCGGGAACTTCGTTTGGAGCAAACCCGAATCGCAGTGGATGCGAACACGCAGATGGGGCAGGCGGCAGAGTTTGTCACACCGGTTGAGCACGAGTTGAGGATCTACGCTCACGATGTGGTTCACCCACACCATGAACGGGATTTTCGGTCCTTTGCGGTGTTCCCCGTTGGGGCGTTGGAGGACGCAAGAGTGGTCGTCCTTGGAGCAGATGTCAGAGGACGTTTGTTGGTGGAATCCATCGTGGGGGGCTCTTGGAAACCGGGCCAATGGACTATTTGTGCACTCATTTGGAAAGGCCATATGGTTCTGGCCCAACCTCCTGAGGATTTTGACCTGGAGACCTGGCTGGAGGCGGAGGATGTGATCTCTACTCCCATTCTTGGCTTTAGTTTTTTCTGGCATGCACGACATGATCAGGACCAGGCCGCATTGCATGTCGCCACTGCCGGTCGGGACGAAAAGCAGGGGATGTCTTGGTGGAGCCTAGACGACAATAGTCAGCTGGCTGCGGTGGCAACGGTGGCAGGAACATGGGAGGCTCGTGATTCCGTTCAGATCCGCAACAGTGCCGGAGGTGACCTGATGCTGCGGGAGCTTTTTGCAGGACAGGCAACTTTGACAAGGGCATGGAAACAACGAGGTGGAAAGGCACTGGAGCCTGTGGAGGTGTATGCATATCCTCACCATCGAGAAGGTTACAGAGCAGCTCATGACCTTCTTCGACCTGAAGTACAAGATGTGCATCTCCAACGAACACGCCACGGCCCTGAGAATGTTGGATGGGCTGCATCGCCCTGCACAAGTTACTGTGATTGGAATCTGGAAAATGGCGGATCACGAACCTTCGAACACCCAGAGGGCGGCAGTGGTCGACCTCTCACGGAAAAGGAGAAGGAGGGCAACCAGTTGTCAGAATTCGGGGCGAAGTACTTCCTCAACATGCTGGAGAACGATGGCTTCCCCATCGCAGAGAGTTCTGGCGGCTCAGGGCGGTACCCCAAGCAATGGGACTTGCTGTGTTGGCAGGCCATTCTGGCCCGACCGGATGTGGATTGGGTGGAGTTCAAAATGTGTGCCTATGGCTTGGGCCCTCCTGATGAGCCGGATGCCTACTACCAGCACTTGACGCGGGTGGTCTTCCGCAAGCATGCCGCTTTCAAAGCCGCCCTGTCCCGACGGTGTCCTGGGGTGAGCCCTACTCATCGCCATGTGGCATTGAAAGGATCCAGACCTGGCAGTCGGGTTACTCGATGCACCGAAGCCGGGGTTTACTGTGAGCAATTTGTGAATGTGGTTTCCGAAGTGCTGCAATCTACGCTGGTTTTGGGGGGGTGGTCATTTTTCACTTCCCCAAAGCGTGTCGGCAAATGACAAGGCAGGTGGCTGTGATGAGAATGAAAAGAAGGTCACAGACAATCCGCGGTGGGGCGAGCTTGAGGAAGCGGGGCTCAGAAATGGTGGTGACAGTGAAGAAAACGAAGAAGAGAAGGGAGCATCACAGGAGCCAGAATGGGACCCTGACACAAGGCCTGGTCAGCCCAAGGGCAGGCTTGAACGTGTGGGAGACGCTTGGCAGCTTTTGAATCCCGTGCCACGGAGTTACCAGCCGATCAAGGAGGCCCTGGACCCGTCGGTGTCAATGGTGGCGGACGAGGGCAACATGGACCAATCTTTGTCGGAAGTGGGAACTCCGAGTGCAACGGATGATCGCAACGCTTGGCATGAGTTCAACGACGTCAATGAGTTCGACGATGTCCTCCAGGCTTCTATCCTTGATGGCTGGGATGATGACCCCCGTGAGGCACGCCTCAGCATGAACTGTTTGGACAGAGAGGACCAGTATTCGGAGAAGTACTACCTTCCGGATGGGAGGGATTATTTCCAAGAAGGTAGAGGGCATTTGGCGGTGTTCCATGTGGAGCCACGGAGAACATGTTTTGTCCCCTACCCGGACTTTGGGCATGAGTTTCACCTGAGCCTGGACCAGCTGAGTGGAGAAAGGATGACGGTGTGTAAGCATTTTGGGCCACCGCCAGAGGAACGCCTGAAGTTGAGCTATTTCTATGATTCTATGACAACTGGCGATCCCTGGGCGAGCACGAACCCGATTTGGGGTGGTGGGTTGGTTGCACAGTTTTGACCTACAATGGGTTCCACCTTCCTTGGACAGAGGAGGAAGGGGGCCCTGATCACTGGGATAGGGGCGATGGTGGCGATCCCGATGACGAGGAGTTCGAAGAGGAAGCCGAGGAGGAGTCCCCTACGTCTACAACGAGCTATGGGAGCAGCCGCACTCGGTCCACAAGAAGAGCTGGAGGTCTACAACCAAATCCTGAAGCGAGACACCTCGCGAGGGACTACGTGAAGTGTGTGGCCAACCTGGGCGAGGGCGCAGTGAGCGATTGGGCGAGCGTCCTTCAATGTGGTGATGAGTTGCTCACAGCCGCAGGAGGAGTGGAGGAAGCCGCCCGTTTGTTGTGGGACGCCAGGAAGGAGGCCAAATTGGACAATCTTCGAGGAGTTCGGGATGAGACCCTTGATGGCGTGTTACACCCACTGGTGCTGGAGTACCTCAGAGCGGTGGAATGCAATGGAATGGTTGCGAGACATCCGGGCTCAAAGGCAAGAGTGGAAGCGGGGCTACATCCGAATGCCAAGAACAACCTGGATCAGGTCTACAAGCAGATCTTCAAGGACGTTCGGAAGCATAGGGTGCTCGTGGTGAAAAGGGGCAACCAACGGCTGGGAACGACAGTCTCCTCCCCTTTTGAAGCGGTCGACAAGATGTTGCCTGATCGGTCCATTGCCCCAGACAAACGCATCGTCCACGACCAGAGGCAGGTGAACTCGCAAACGGACAAGTTGTGGCACCCGCCAGCGTTGCAGCCTACCCACCAGCAAATTGCCCGGAGGATCCTGTGGCACAAAACCCGGTTCCCTGGACTGGACGTTCTCATTTCCAAGCGCGACATTGCAGGAGCTTTCAGATTGCTTTGGGTGGCTCCGGGAGATGCTCATCTTTTTGCGGGTGACTTGCCATGGAATGTGAAGAAGATGGCCGAGGAGGAGGGTGCAAATGGTGGGCAACATGACGGTGAGGACATGACCGTCATCTACCTGGTCTCGAGCTTTGGTTTCAGCGGGTCTCCAGGTAGGGCCACAGAGGATTACCATAGGGCGCATCGACCTGCGCGACCTCGACGTGATGGGGCATGCAGCTTCGACAGCAAGGTTTTGGTGGATGATTGCGTCCTCGTCGAGCCGGCGGTGGGATTGAGACCGTGGGTGTCGGCAAGTTGTTACGATGGGGTGAAGCTGATGCTGGGGTCGGCCGCTGTGAATGAGGAGAAGAACCTGGTGGAGGGCGTCTTCAGGCATGAGCAGACAGTGTGGGGTCTCACAATGAATTCCAAGACGGAGCTTGCATCTCTCCCAGCACGGCGCATAGAGAAGGGAGCCCATCTCTTGGCGCATCATGCATTTGACTATGACATGGTGTGCCTGACTCTCCGACAGCTACAGCAATTCAGAGGGATCACTACTGGATGGTCAGTGGTAGTGAAAGGCTTGAAGAATGAGTTGAAAGCTGCGGATGTTTTCCTGACGGGCGGTGATGGGTCCTTGCCGGTCAAGCCGAAGGTGAGCAGCTACTTGGACGAAACCATGGCGACCACTCGGGCGTGGGAAGATTTGTGGGCGCTCTTCGAGATGTGCAGGTGGCTATGTGCTCGGCCAGAGATGTGGGAGTCGCAATTTTGTGCCACTTTGGATGAGTTGCTTGACCCTCGTGAGAGGTTGGCTTTGCCGCGTGGACACCGTCATGCAGTCTTCGTGTCCGCCGATGCCACGGAGACGGTTGTTGGGGCCATTGATTGGACCAACGGTCAAGTTGCTCGGTTGAGTACTGACCAAGTGGGCCCTTGGTTGGAGGAGGCGCTCAAGGGAGAGATGGAGGATGAGAAGGTGAGGATCCATGTGAGCGAGATGTTGGCATTCGTGGCGTTTGCTATACAACCGTGGGGGAGTCATGGCATGGCAAGGTGGTCGTCTACGCCGGGGACAATCAAGTCGTGCGGGCGTGGATCACGAAGAGACAGAGTGGGTCTCGTGCTGGGCGACTGCTTCTGCGGGTGCTTGCTATGTGCGAGATGAGGTATGGCTTCACCACAGTGGCGGGCTGGTGGCGAACTTTTCACAATGTGGACGCCGATTTTGTCACCCGGTGCACCACAAAGGAGTTTGGGGAGTACATGGCAAAGAAGGGCTGGAGTTTTGTGGACATTGGTCCCCCGATCGAACAGGCATCGGAGGACACGTCTCGTTTCGGCCTATGCTTCCTTTCGTGGTCGAGTCCAGGTGACAGACACTTGATTATGCAACTGAAAGAACGTCGGATGAGACGAGCAATTGACCGCCCCTTGGGCATTCCATGGCCGGACATCGAAGTGCTGGAGTGGGCAGTGCAAGGACGCATGGTCAGGGACTTTGACATGGCCGCGCGTGCTACGGGAGCTGCTCGAGAAGGTCAAGGAATGGTCCGTTTGGGCATGGGCACAGTGGGTTGCGATATCAAGGGCAATCAGGTGAGGGCCTTCCTCGAATGGGCCAGGCAGAAGAAGGTGGCAGTGGGGCTGATCGAGGGCCCCCCTTTGGCAAACTGGGAGAGTGGAATGGAATGGTGTGCGGCTGTGGGCTGGGGCAACACTATCGTCGTGGAGTTTGTCACTACGGAGCTGGGTGAAGCGCTGGCCAGACGGAGAAAAGCTTTGGTCGTGTCACCAAATCCAATAGATGAGCAGAGTGTCAACCACCTGATGGTGAAAGCAGTGGTGGCTACACCGCTGGGAGCAGTGGTGAACACCGGAAAGGTGGCTGAGGATTTGGTGTGGAGGTTTCCCTACAAGATGGAGTTGGTTCAGGGTGCCCCTCGCGATCCACTACCACATGTGGCAGCTCATGTGTGGTGGGAGCAAGGAGCCATGAGGGAAAACCTACATGGCCTGACTGGCCCGGGCAGGTGGCCTTTGGTGCAGCGGGGCCAGGAACACTATGAGCAGCTTTACATCTATGATCGAGCCGGTCCAAGCGGGAGTGCTCGGGCTTTGAGCTTTGAGGAGATCTGGAAGGCGCAGGGCAGAACGGCATCGGAGTGGAAAGCAACGGTGGCTTCATGTGAAGGAGTACCGGTACACGCATTTGATGAAGGGTGCAAGGGCACGGGGGCCAGAACCGCCGAGACGTTGCTGGCGGTAGCGGCCGCTGTGGCGTGTGACAAAGGAGTTCTACGAGCAGGAGCAATCAGGGATGGCCGGAGCGATGAGAGTCTGGCAAAACTACTGCTCTGGCTTCGGAGATGGAAACAAGGAGAGTTTGGCAGAGAGGGCCAGACGAGAAAAGCTGGAGGTGCCGCGCGGCGTCGAGTGGTTCCATTGGGAGAGGCTTTGTGGCTGCAAGCCCTGGAGGACGAAGAGAACTTCGGGGACTGGAGGGCTGGAGGTCGACTCGCAAGGGAGCCAAAGAACAAGCCGCTTGGCCAGCATCGTCACTGCACGGGCGGAATGCCCATTTGAAGGTGATGTGTCGGGGCGCATCGATGATTGGCTTGAGGCCAACCTTACGGGTGACAAGGCGGAGAGCACAGCCAGAGCATAAGCTGGGATGTGGGCCAAATGGTGTGTGTGGGCCGAGCGCCAACAATGGGACACCGCCTACTTGAATCCAAAGGAGGACAAAGATCCTGGGCTTCCTCGGATACCTAGGCTGGCTTAGTTTCTCTTCGGCCAGCCTCAAACAAGCTGTGTTTGCCATCAAAGATGCCCACAAGAGAGCAGGAGCAGGAGATCCAACGGAAGGTCTGTTCCGCGTGTGGGTTTTGATGAACGCGTTGGACCGGAAGGCTGCCCGAAAACCAAGAAGGCTGGGAGTCACCCCAGGCATGCTGGAGTGGGTAGGGCGTCAGTTCCAGGAGATGCCCCGGAAGTTCGGTGAGGTCAAGGTTGATGCGGTGATGGAACGAAGTGACGGTGCAGTTCAGAAAGACCAAGTCTGATCAGGAGGCGTTTGGGTCATGCAAGACTATGGGAAAAACAGGGAGGCAATTTTTGTGCCCTGTCGAAGCACTGGAGAACTACCGCATGGTGTGCCCGGGCAGGTTCAATGGCCCTGAGGCATTGAGACCCCTCTTCCGATGGGGCAGTGGCATGACTTTGAAGCGAACGGAGGTCCAGTATTTGCTGCAGAAGGCCGCCACTGCGGAAGGCTTGCCGGCCGACCGCTTCCTATCTCATTCATTGAGGATTGGAGGAGCGAGTGCATTGTACCAGGTGACTGCCGATGTGGAGCTGGTGAAGCGTATGGGGCGATGGAGCTCAAGTGCTGTCCAGAGGTACTTGCACGATGGGGGCCGCGTCCTGAAGGAGTTGTCGGGCCGCATGGCGCGAGTGGATCAGAGGGTTCACTATACGTGAGATTGGCTATGTGTTCGGTGCCACTATTTTGTAAAGCTCGGCAATGTTGCCCTGATGGCCTACTATGGGGGGGTGAAGCATCTAAAGAGATGCCAAGCTCCAGCTGGGGCATGCACAGATGCAGTGTGCAACGCCGCCGAAAAGATGAGAGTGCCGAGACACACGTATGCGCATTCAAAGTTGAAGCTTAGACATAAGCGCTACTTTTAAGAAGCATGAGTGGGATGAGAGGACTGGTCAATCCTGGGGCTCAAGGCTTTTTCCCAGGTGGCAGTGACTAGCCCACCCTCACCACCCGGGGGGGTGAAGCATCTAAAGAGGTGCCAAGCTCCAGCTGGGGCATGCACAGATGCAGTGCGCAACACCGCCGAAAAGATGAGAGTGCCGAGACACACGTATGCGCATTCAAAGTTTCTGTGTGCAAAAGCGTCTGTGTGCAAAAGCGTGTGTGTGTGTAAAAGCGTGTGTGTGTAAAAGCGTCTGTGTGTAAAAGACTCTGTGTGTAAAAGCGTCTGTGTGTAAAAGCGTCTGTGTGTAAAAGCGTGTGTGTGTAAAAGCTTCTGTGTGTAAAAGCCTCTGTGTGTAAAAGCCTCTGTGTGTAAAAGCGTCTGTGTGTAAAAGCAACTGTGTGTAAAAGTCTCTGTGTGTAAAAGCGTCTGTGTGTAAAAGCGTCTGTGTGTAAAAGCGTCTGTGTGTAAAAGCGTCTGTGTGTAAAAGCTTCTGTGTGTAAAAGCTTCTGTGTAAAAGCGTCTGTGTGTAAAAGTCTCTCTGTGTAAAAGTGTTTGTGTGTAGAAGTGTTTGTGTGTAAAATCGTCTGTGTAAGAGCGTCTGTGTGTAAAAATCTCTGTGTGTAAAAGTCTCTGTGTGTAAAAGTCTCTGTGTGTAAACGTGTTTGTGTGTAAAATCGTCTGCGGGTAAAAGCCTCTGTGTGTAAAAGTCTCATGTATGTTCCAAACAGGGGGGGAGCGTCTTGCTCGCTATTCTATAGACATAAAATGGTGTCATTGACCCCTAGAGTGCATATAATTTGCTCAGCCCTGATGTCGGACCCCCAAGTCTATAAAATGAGGGGTCTAACTACTAACCTGGCCAAACTTTTGACCATACATATCATGAGTCTATGAAATTGGGAGCTCTGACCCACCTCTTCAAATCGTTCGAAACCGTTTCAAAACCACCCCAAAAAATAAACGTATACGGTATATACATGTATAAACATGTATAAACCAAAATATGTTGCAGGTGTAAAGTTATGAAGAATATAGAAGAAAGGAATGGAAAGGACATGCAAGGGTAGAAATTGGATGAAATTGGTAGAAGCGGAACTAGATTGTTTTCGCCACAGCCTTTGGCCTATTCGGCCCGGTCTGAGTTAAGGTCTGACGATGCTATGCAATAGGGGGTGAAATCAAAATTGCCGGCCGTACGACGCAATGTCGGACCTCCGGAGGATCATTCTATTGAAAAAGAGCACCAACAAACAAGACACAGGCTCCGGTAGTATGCAGAAAGGGCCCAGTCGTGGCAAGATGTGGCAGGAGGTTGCCCAAACCAAGAAGTCAAGAGGGATGGTAGCAAAGATGTGAAAGGATAGTAGAGGAAGTAAAAGTTTGCAGAAGAGTGAGAGCTGAGATGGCTTCTGAGTACTGGTTCTGACCCCTGCTGCTCCAATTCCTCTGCTCTCTCCCACAGAGCAACAGTGTTGTGGTACAGGTGGGGGGTTAGACCCCTCCATTTTATAGAGATCCACCCCTGCTTATGGTGCAGGTGGGGGGTTAGACCCCTCCATTTTATAGAGACACCCTGCCAGCAAGGGCCCAGTCGTGGCATGTCGTGGCAAGATGTGGCACGAGGTTGCCCAAACCAAGAAGTCAAGAGGGATGGTAGCAATTGGCAGCAGGTAGCAAAGATGTGAAAGATTGTGAAAGGATAGTAGAGGAAGTCTGCCAGCAAGGGCCCAGTCGTGGCATGTCGTGGCAAGATGTGGCAGGAGGTTGCCCAAACCAAGAAGTCAAGAGGGATGGTAGCAATTGGTAGCAAAGATGTGAAAGATTGTGAAGGGATAGTAGATGAAGTAGAATTTTGCCCTGACCCCTGCTGCTCCAATTCCTCTGCTCTCCCACAGAGCAACAAAGTTTTATGGTGCAGGTGGGAGGTTAGACCCCTCCATTTTATAGAGATCCACCCTGCCAGAAAGGGCCCAGTCGTGGCATGTCGTGGCAAGATGTGGCAGGAGGTTGCCCCAACCAAGAAGTCAAGAGAGATGGTAGCAAAGATGTGCAGGGATAGTAGGGGAAGTAGAACTTTGCAGAAGAGTGAGAGCTGAGATGGCTTCTGAGTGCTGGTTCTCACCCCTGCTGCTCCAATTCCCGTGCTCTCTCCCACAGAGCAACAGTGTTATGGCGCAGGTGGGGGGTTAGACCCCTCCATTTTATAGAGATCCACCCCTGCTTATGGTGCAGGTGGGGGGTTCGACCCCTAAAATTTATTATAGAGACCCACCCTGCCAGCAAGGGCCCAGTCGTGGCATGTCGTGGCAAGATGTGGCAGGAGGTTGCCCAAACCAAGAAGTCAAGAGGGATGTGAAAGGATAGCAGAGGAAGTAGAACTTTGCAGAAGAGTGAGAGCTCAGATGGCTTCTGAGACCCCTGCTGCTCCAATTCCCGTGCTCTCTCCCACAGAGCAACAGTGTTATGGTGCAGGTGGGGGGTTAGACCCCTCCATTTTATAGAGACCCACCCTGCCAGCAAGGGCCCAGTCGTGCCAAGATGTGGCAGGAGGCTGCCCAAACCAAGAAGCCAAGAGAGATGGTAGCAAAGATGTGAAAGGATAGTGGAGCAAGTAAAAGTTTGCAGAAGAGTCAGAGCTGAGATGGCTTCTGAATGCTGGTTCTGACCCCTACTGCTCCAATTCCTCTGCTCTCTCCCACAGAGCAACAGTGTTATGGTGCAGGTGGGGGGTTAGACCCCTCCATTTTATAGAGATCCCCCCCCTGCTTTTGGTGCAGGTGGGGGGTTAGACCCCTCCATTTTATAGAGGCCCACCCTGCCAGCAAGGGCCCAGTCGTGGCAAGATGTGGCAGGAGGTTGCCCAAACCAAGAATCAAGAGGGATGGTAGCAAAGATGTGAAAGGATAGCAGAGGACATGGAACTTTGCAGAAGAGTGAGAGCTGAGATGGCTTCTGAGTGCTGGTTCTGACCCCTGCTGCTCCAATTCCCGTGCTCTCTCCCACAGGGCAACAGTGTTATGGTGCAGGTGGGGGGTTAGACCCCTCCATTTTATAGAGGCCCACCCTGCGCAAGGGCCCAGTCGTGGCAAGATGTGGCAGGAGGTTGCCCAAACCAAGAATCAAGAGGGATGGTAGCAACGATGTGAAAGGATAGCAGAGGACATGGAACTTTGCAGACGAGTGAGATTCATGTGGATTTGTGTCATTCAGCACGTTCCATGGTTCAAAAGCATGATTTAAACATGTTCCAAACTTTGAGTTATATGGATTCATGATGATTCATTATGATTCATGTGGAGTTTCTGAATTCCTAACTTCATCAAATTTCGATAAATTTGCTCGGCCACCTTTGCTTGGCCAAATGGCTTCGGATAAATTTCATCTACTGCCATCCACTCATGGTCAACGATCTATATCTAACTATTCAATTCAAAAAACATGCATCAAATTCATATTTCATGTAACTTCCTGTCAAAGAAAAAACAACAAAACTGAAAAAGCAAACATATCCTCTATAAAATAGGGAGCTCTCACCCACCCTTCCAGAACCCATACTTTGAGCAGAATCATCCAAAACCATGGTTTGGTATAAAATCAGGGGTCCAACCAACAGAAAAACCATGCATAAAATGCTTTCTGCCGGGCCTTGACCCCTGCTATTTCATAGAGGGGTTCGGAGCAGACATAAAGCCTCTGTGTGTAAAAGTCTCTGTGTGTAAAAGTGTTTGTGTGTAAACGTGTTTGTGTGCAAAATCGTCTGTGTGTAAAAGCGTCTGTGTGTAAAAAGCGTCTGTGTGTAAAAGTCTCTGTGTGCAAAAGCGTCTGTGTGCAAAATCGTCTGTGTGTAAAAGCGTCTGTGTGTAAAAAGCGTCTGTGTGTAAGAGTCTCTGTGTGCAAAAGCGTCTGTCTGTAAAAAGTTCTGTGTATGAAAAACTTTACAAAAATACGATGCAAACTATTGTCTTGTACTAGTCACATATTGTCCTGATACTACTCTTCTCGTCTGCCTATAATACATCTTTAATATATTATCTTGTAATATAGTGTCTCCATACTAACAACAGAAGACTCTGCTCCTCTACGCTCTCGGGCCATCCGTCGTCTAGTTTGTAATCCGGCTTGTACTTGGACAAGGCTGCTACTACTACTACTACTACTACTAGTACTAGTACTAGTACTAGTGCTACTACCACCACTATCCACCACCACTATATACTACTACTGCTGCTGCTGCTACTACTACTACTACCACCACCACCACGACAACAACAACAGCAACAACAACAACAACAACTACTACTACCACTACTACTACTACTACTACTCCTGCTGCTACTGCTACTACTACTACTACTACTACTACATACTACTACTACTACTACCTACTACTACTACATACTACTACTATATATACTACTACTATATACTACTACTATCTATATACTACTACTATATACTACTACTATATACTACTACATACTACTACATACTACTACATACTACTACTACTACTACTACTACTACTATATACTACTACTACTACTACTACTACTACTATATACTACTACTACTACATACTACTACATACTACTACATACTACTACTATGTACTACTACTACTGCTACTACTACTACTACTACTACTACATGTCAAGCACCACGGAACTCGGATCGGCACAGAAAACAACCCAAAAATGCTTTACATAGGTTCGAGGCTGCAGCGTGCACCATTTATACGCAGCTCAAGCCATCGGCCGCCTCCAACCTGACTTTTGGATCGCAGCAGCTCTGTAGATCAATCCTGAGAACAGATGCGATCATGAGAAATGCATCACAAGTGTTTAAAACATTAACAATGTATACATTGTAGTTTTCACTTGCATGTGCTCTGGCGGGCTGCTGGCTGGAGCAAAGAATGGTCAAGTGGGCCGAAGTGTGTGAGGACGCGACTGGAAAGCAAAAGCGAAGCAGAACCTTCACCCTCACGCAACCCAACAATAACATGATACCGCCTAGCAGATGGATTTTAAAGGATGAGGGAGCAAGCCCCCAGCTTCAATCAGCCGCCTGGGCCTTTTGAATCACTCTGGCCTGCTCAATGGTGAAACTTGCAAGCGTGCTCTATACAATGCGCCTCTAGAAGTAGAGGTTTTACAGTGTGCTACACCATCCCAGCAACCTAACGAATCCTTTTAACTCCTTCAAATTTGATCAGCTTTGACCGAGAGAGAAAAGAATCTGAAGCGCGGGCGGGTCCACATAGCAAACTTATGCAAACTTTCAAGGAGCAGAACCCTCACAATTCATCACAATTCCATACTTTCTGATCTTTCTGGCAGTGCTTCTTTCTGATGTTTCATGCAGCTTGCGGACGGCCGCGCGTTGCGAGAAACTAAGTAACTACTCCGCAATAACGCAATGTGGCAAAACTCTTGGAATACCTTGGAATGTGAAAATCTCCGTGGAGGATCCATATCCTGCAGCAGGACCCGCAGCTGTCGAGTGGCACATGCAAAAAAAAATGCAGCGCAAACAGTCATGTTCCAATTCTGCTTCATTCAGCTGCGGCGCAAGCCACTGCTCTTGTTTATTCTAGTTGCACAGGTCTGTTCTGTCAGGAAGTGATGGCATGCACTGCTTCTCCATTCTGGGAAGACTGGATAAATACAAAAACAGGTGGCCGCAGAAGCTTCGCAAGAAAAGGGCCTCGGTGACACAGAAGATAGTGAAACGAACGACTTCTCAGATGTTGGGGGCCTCAACGCAAAAGATCCGGGAAGGGTGGTAGGTTTGGGCGGTTGCCTACGGAAAGGGGCACATTGTCGCCTGATGGGCCATCCCGCTTTGGTGGGATGATTGGCTTGGACCCGCCGGCTGCGTGTGCCATTCTGCGGCGTGAACCCAAAATGGCAGAATCAAAGCGCCGAGCAATGCGTAGCGAGATCTCATCAAGCCCTGCAACCATTCGCTCACTTTCTGCAAGAGAATCATCCATCAAGTCCATCTTGGTTGCAAGAGCATCTGCCTGAAGGGAGCATGCCAACTTTGATGACGTAATCACCATATTCTACCATATTCAACCACTTCGAAAAACACGCCATCAGTGCGAAGCGTAATTCGATGTGTTGTGTGAATCCGCCCGCATTGTCAGAAGCTCGGCTAGCTTTGGCTACGGAAGCCTCTTTTTCTCCTTGGACTAATTACTTCGTATTTGCTTGGGAACACCCAATGCATTATAATTATGTGCATGCTTGTAATGTAACACATGGATGGAATGGGATCATTTGAGGGTTCCGATGGGCAAAGGTTCACAACATAGCCGCAACTGTTGGTCTAGCTTGGGCCTAACATGGCGCAGCGTTTGCAAGTTTTCTGGTGATGAAGCATGTGGTTTCCAATCAAAGCTCTTGGTGAGAGAGAACATGTTTTGAAGGGGGGGTGCAAAACAAGTTTCTTGTAGCTCGAATACTGCATGTAAGATTTGCATGAGCGTAACGTGGCGCGCGCGCGCACTTTTGTATGCTTTTGCCAGCTTTTCCTCAAACATTGAGTCCACAGCAGGGCTCTTACTGTAGGTGTACGGGCCGGGATTGATTGAGAGTTCGCATCTGCTGCTGCGGGCTTTACGCCATTCTGGTCGCGCAAATTCCCTTTTTTCAGCTATGTACGTCTCGCGTGGCGACTGAAATAGATTCTGAACTTTTGGTGGGCCAGGGTTTTACTTCGCGTGACAGGCGCAAGCGATCGGACAACATTCCCAAAACGCGGCAGGCACACCTTGTAGATATTCTGCAGGGGCCTTGTTTAGATGTCATTGGGTAAGGATGTCTTAATCCTCTACAGTTTCCTTATGCGGAGGTCCTTCAAGAGATCCTTTTGCAAGCATATCATCTTCCAGAGATCTTTGCAAGAGTTCTCCTTTAGGGATCCTGCAGGTTCCTGTGGGGCCCTTGTCAAGAGATCATTGAAGAGGGTCTTGAACCAGAAAATCTTGTAGGGATCCTTGTGTGTGTGTGTGTTCCGTCCGGAAGATTCCGAAAGGTCCTCGCACAGGGATCCTTGCTGAGATCCCAGGGCTCGAAAAAGAGTAAAACATGGTAAAAAAAAGTATCTTGCAGAGAGATACTCTGACATAGGCCGTCCTTCCATAGAGATCTTGCACGACGTTCTTATGTATGGAGAATTTTTCAGGGTCCTTGCAGCAGATCCTTTGGGGAAGCCCTTTCAGAGAGATCTTGGGAGAACGTGAAAAGGGTTTAAAGGCAAAACCGATGCAAAACGTGCTTCAGGAGCGACATGATCCCCGCGTGACCTCAACACGAACCTTGGGTCCCCAGGCCCAACTTCAAACTTAGTTTTTCGCGCTAGGGGCCAGCTTGGGCCCAAAGTGGGCATAGCATGGCGCAACTGGGGCATGCCGCGAAGTTGGGCAAACTTGTGCCATAGCCCACAAAGAGTGTCAATTGAGGACAACATTGGCCTGAACTTTGCGAAGTATGCTTTCGATATTCAAGATTGCTGATGCATCTTTCATTTGGCATTGACGAGATTGACATCGAGTGTGGATGCCCATGAATGTCCATGACCTTTGGTTGCGAAGCCATGAAAACCTGAACCTAACAGATTCTACGATTGTGACCAATGCTTCTGAATAAATCTTGCCCACTATGCGCTACAAAGTGGCATTGCATTCTGATATTTTCTGATGCTCTAACCCCGCTGCCTGGGCCATGACTGCCAGCATGTCCTTGCTCATGGCATGACCCTTCAACTTGGCACAGCCTTGGATGAAGTCCGTGTAGCTTAAGGTCTGGGAGCCATCTCCGTCCAAAACGCCGAACAGCTTCACTGTTTCAGCGACCGGAAGCTCTAGCATCTTCATTCGCCATTGCACCTCCGGGTTCTTCACTGCTGCCAGAAACTCTTCCTTGTCAAGACTGTTGCTGCCATCGGTGTCTGAGATCAAGAAAATCTCCTTGATGCTATCCAATTCTGCACGTTGAGCCTTCTCTTCGCGAACCTTCAGTCGTTGCTTGTTCTGCAGTGAGGCTGCCAAGGTTTGCTCTACGATGACGCTGACCAAGATGTTCATGATTCCAAATGTGGTGATGAGGAGGAACGCGCAAAAGAAGGCAATCATGTACCACTGATTGACAGCCACATGCCGCACCACCTGCTATGAGATAAATCTGATTCGAATCTATTATATACACCATGGCCGTTTGAAATCCCCATTGACTGTGGCCAAATTCTTCTAAAGATGGCGGATGGTTCGGTTGCATTCGGTCATGCCGCACCGACAAGAAAAACTGCTTTGTAAGATTTTGTAAGCATGTTAGGCAAGAAACGAAACTTACAAGGCTCAACAAGGGAGCGGCCAAAGCAATTCTTACAGCAGGAGTGGAAAGGACATGAAAGCAGTACGGCAAAGGGGCCTGTGGCTCCCCAAGGAAGCAATGGAAGCATGGAAGTAGGAGACAATATGAGACAACAAGCACAAACAAATGGGAGACAAGCCGCAAACCACCCAAACCGTACAAACTGGGACGCCGCAGGTAGCGATGCAGCTGAGATGTGGGAAAGAAATGGGAAACAATACGAGTGGGAAAAGGATGGAGGAACTTGATGAAACTTGACAAGATGGAAAGGAACGTAAGAGATGAGCAGGAAACAAGCGAGAAACGCATGGAAATGAACTGGGTGCCCACGGCAGCAATAGCCAGAGACCATCCGGAGACAATGCAAGATATGCGCAGGACTTTACAGGACTTTGGTAAACAAATAGGAGACAGTCAGAGAGACGTGTCAAACAGCTGACATCATCAAGAAGCTAAGGCAAAGAACGCAAGAACAGAGCCCGAGTTGAGCCAAAGAGAGTTTGAGACAACAGGCATCCCAAGACAGCAACATAGCCAAAGAGGATTGAAAACAAAGGACAAGCAGAGCAAGACGGCATCTCAAGAAACACCACTAGAACGTAAGCCATATGTAGCCCATTAGTCCCGCGAGAAAAACAGGCTTAAAGACAGTTGGACAATGTTCGAGGCAATTAAAGACTCGCTTCCTTGGTACCAATGTCATGGAAAACACATGTGAAGACAACAGGGCAAACAAAAGCACAAAAAGGGGACAACGGCAAACAAACACACACACACACATTCGGAGACAGGAATAGATCTTGACAAGGAGTAAGGGCCCCGGCAGTAGCCGATGCATGAACAAAGAGTCAATCATGGGGAGTGGAACAATAATGGACTAACGTACGTTCATGAGGTGCTTTCAAAGCTAGATTCAGTGGAGGTACAAAGGGATCTGGAAAAAAAGGGTGCATGCACTGCATATTTCTTAAATATTTCCACACATAATATGTGAAAAAAAACATGTTGGATTCCATATATTCCATGGGGGGAAAGGTGGTAGCATCAATGGGAAAAAAATGAAAAAGGCCAAACAGAATTGACTAAGAGGCAAGCCAGCGCCCTAATGACAAGGAAACTTGGTAGAGACAGACGCGTCCCTAACTGTACCGTACTGACACATCCCAGACCTAACTATATAATTAATTACAAACATTGCCTACACATCAATTCTGGCCACATGGTGCGAACCAAAGCAGAACTTTCACATTATGCTTACAAACCAAAACGCCCTGGCCCAGCGTTGACCAAACCTATCACCCACTACAGGCGCAAACAGTATAAGTTCGGAAGAAAGGACCCGCAGATGCACGATCTCTGCAAGACATCCTGCTGTCCTTGACAAACAAGTGAGTTTGGGTACAAGCATTGAGCTTTGGCAATGAGGAGGATAAACTGACACAAGACTGTCACACGTGTTATCGCACCCGTGCCAAACGCTCAAAATCAAACTCGAGCACAAGCGAGCCGCTTCAATCAGTTGGGGATGCATGACATAGAAGACCCTTCCAATTACGCATGTTTTATATTGTTTCATTCTTGGATTTTCAAGCGCGCACCGCTCCATACAATTCTTAGATATTCTCAGGATTTGGGACCGTTTCCATCATGCAGCTCGCCATAGCTCGCCTTGCTAAGCCAACTGTCCAGAGTCATGACCTGCATCAGCGTGAACATGGAGCGACCTACTGTGCCGAAGAGCTCTTCATGATCCCAACCACCGCTAAGCTTGCGATAGTTCCCGTAGATCTCCACATTGTGTCCAATCTGCTGTGTTAGAATCACCGCCGCAATGTACAGAACCACAACGAGCAAAACAACTGTCCAGAACAAAGTTTGCATTGAGTCCTTCAGACTCTGCAATAAAAGTCGTAGTTCATCCAATCGACGGTATCGTTTGATGAGCTTGTAGAGGCGCGAGATGCCCACAATTCGAAACATCGAAAACATGCGAAGGACTCCGCTAACCCCAATGGGATTCAAAATGGTGCAATCGATGAATGCCATGAAACAAATGAAAATTGTAAGCATGTTGGAAAACGAGTTGAAGGCCCACCGCCAGGTGTGGTAGTACATCTTCAAGCCAACCTCGCCCAAGAAGCACAAGAGGAAGAAGACTTCAGCCACTATCCAACCTGCATCTCGCTCTCGCGATGCACGCCTTACATCAGTCTCTAATCCGATGACAAAGGCATTGAGCACGATAATGCAGCTGATGACAATGTCAAAGGCAGCACTGTCCACCCAGATCTTGTCTACGTCCTCCTCCTCCTCAACTACGCCGTTGTCGAAAGTCCGCATGATGGCAGCTATTTCTTTCATCTTTTGACTCTCTTGCGAAAGCTGATCTTTCTGGCCAAGCTTGTCTGCAAGGAATGAATCCCACTTGAGTTTCATTTGCGCAAAGAACCTACCAACCCTGGCGCTGTCATCTTCGTCGTTCCAAAGGCTTGGCTCCTCGGAATGATTCTTGCTTGCCATGATTTGGCGAATGTCTCGTTGGCAGTTTGTCGCCACAAGACCTATTTAGTTTGAAACTTGTGAGGTACTACTTGAGCAGAAAGTGACCACGCAGCAGCAAGATCGTGCTAAGAAGCAGCCACAAAAACTGATGACTGCATGCGTGTGCCCTACCCATGTGGTAGCTGCTATGCAAACAACAAGGAAACCCACGCAAACGATGACTGCACGCAGCCAAGACACGAGGACCCCCTTGCACAATTCCACTGACAAACAGAAACCGGTTGAAAAACACTTCAAAAATGCCCGCCTCATCAACCCAGAGCACCATTCTGGGAGAACAGCATTGGACCGAGCCAAGCAGCCATGCCGAACGGGTCTTTCAAGTCTATCTGTGGCAAAGTAATCTTCAGTTGGTTCACTGCCTCTGAAGAAAGCCTGAGGCACACGCAAAGGTGCAGCACCCGCGTCGTGTCCCAAGTTTTCACTTGAGAGACCACCAGCCTCAAGTCGAGTAAATACACTTATGGCACACTGTCACCGAGAAGAACAATAACGGCACGACAAAAAACGTTTAAAGTTTAAAAGTATAAAAGAAAAATGTGCATATCTAACTATATACATCTTAAAGTGCCGTATAAACCTCGTACTACTCGCACACTCGCGTCTCTCTTTTTCACAGCTCTGCCAACGTTAAGTCTGTTTCACCTGCAATCCTCAGGTTTGCTTTGGGTAGTCACTATGTGACACGTACATAGCCTCAGACCAGTTTCGCCACTGGTCAGCTACCTGGTTCCTCCAGGTCGGAACCTGCTCTTGCAGGTATCACCCAATGCACTAAACTCCCAAAGCACTAAAGGAACTCAAAGGTGAGGATGACTGCAACGAAGGGCAGTTGGAAAAAGATGGTAGGGAGGTACGACGAATAAAACTCGAATCCATGGCAGCGCCACCAAGGATCACTGACACCCAGTCGACTGATGTCATCGGCCCAGTTGCTTTTGCTCTGGACGTACTCCCAGTAACCCTGGGCTCGCAGTGCAAACAGGGCTAAGTCTGCATTGCTAGAGCGCCCTCTCACTAAGGTCATAACTGCTGCGGCGACATTGTCAAGGAACCAAAGGCCATGTCGATGTCGAAAGAGGTCAGGGCGCTCGACCAGGGCGTAGAGCACTATAGAGAGTTCCAGCTGGGCGATATGAGTCTCTGCAGGCTGCCATAAGCTTTGGAACTCTGCGCAATTGGTTGCTACAAAACTGAGACGGTCAGGTTGGAACCAGCTGAGGTGGAAGCCGCCTGATCTTGGATTGTCTGCTTCGACTGCCGCATCTGATGCCGCCAAAAATCGAAGGTGCTCCATATGGAGAACGGGAAATTCACGTTTTGGCTGAAAGCGCGTCACAGCTTCGATCACCTCGAAGCAAGATTCAATCTCCGGGGTCATGGCCGTGGTGTTTTCATCTTGACGTGCCTTGATTGCCATAAGGCCGCCATACCCCACGCGGCCATGCGGCCATAAATGCCTTGTTCCAAGAAATTGGCCAGACCGTAGAGCTTGGAGGCTGTGCCTCGACTAAAGTGGCCAGTTTTCCGTGCTGTGGCCAAGATGTCACGAACTTTTTCATGGAGTCTGTCGCGCGCCCAAAAACGAACATGGCCTGTCTTGTTGATACAGCTGAGATATGCTGAGATCATGGGTCAATCCCAAGAAAGTGCCTGTGCTCTGCATGGTCTGCTTCTTGTCTTCGGCAAAGGGGGATCCAATCATCAGACAGAGTTGGTTCATCGCCCATTGGCCTGAACCTTTGGCTGAACGTACATCTGTGATGTTGCATCATCAAAATACAGGGATGTCAAAACTTGGCAAAATCGCCGGGTCAATGCCTCCAACAGTCGGGAAATTCTGTTAAAGGAAGTGACGGCCCGGCCAGCGGAAGCCCAAAAAGGAGGCCTGCATATGCAGGGGTCTGCCATTCATGATGGAACCATACAACGACACAGCCTAAACTCTCCTGCTGTGACATAGGGCAGTACCTGTAGGCTGAAGGTAGATCTGCTTGGCCTGTCTTCCAGGCGTCATTCAGACAAAACTCGGCGACTTCTTGCTCAGACCAGCGATGAATAACCAAACTGATATGTTGTGCCGGCCGCACCGGGCTGCACAAGGTGAGCTTGTTGGCGTCAGATGAGAGGGCAGACTGCCTATCTGTGTCGCCGTTGTCGATGACTCTCCGTTTCCCTGAACTCTGAGTGATGACACACCGGGGGATCAAACGATGTGCCTTGTTGCCAATGAGCTTGAGAAATTCTGCTCGCCGCAGAGGGGGGGTGAAGAAGCCATTCTTGGAGTCCTCCATAGACTGCTGCAGCAAGAAGGCGTCATCTTTGCCGGCCTTCAGCTGATTCAAGATGTGCTGGTTATGTTCTTGCCATCCCTCCAACACGTCTGCCATGTTGATCACCTCAGCTGGCTGTTGAGGAAAGACGCCATACGACGGTGCATATCCCACCGCTGGCAGCCCTCGGACCAGCCCGTAGGGCCGTAGGGGAAGCTGGTATCGGCCCAAGAGGTGAAGATCATCAACAAAGCGATGAACCCGATGTCCCGTTGCCTCGTCACTTGGCGCACTGCTGGCTCCTGAAAAGAGTGCAAATGGAGGGTCACCCCCTCCCAGCGCCTCTTCAGCTCACGCAAAGCGCCCACAGCCCGTTGTCTCCATGCTTGCAGTGGCATCCGTGGAGCTGCGTATGCATCAGCGACGTACTCAAGGTCGAGGTCAGACACTGCATGGTAAGTCCTCGTAAGGCAAAGGTTGTTGAACTCCCTGCAGTGCTCGTCCAAAATGAGCGTCTGAAGGGCAGCAGTGACGGCAAAGCTGCTCGATGTGTCATTGCTCCTATACTTGGCAGCCGTCTCCAATTCGGGCAAGCTGACGCACAGCTCCTGCTGCCAAGTGAAGAACCAAAGGCCCGTCACAGGCCTCTCCACGCTCAGCAAGCCAGGCTGAGTAAGAGCAAAATGGGGGGCTGTTGACGAGGTCCTCCACCATGGCGAACTTGTAGTTCTGGAACCGATGCTCTGGGAACAATTTGCGGAATGCTAGCACCAGGGCTTCCTGGCTCATCATGGGCAAGGCCACGCCTTTTGGCAGCGCTTGGATCCCTTGTAGCAAGGCGACTGTGCGGCTCCACTTGCCCTCAGAACCCCTGCTAGCTGGGTTGCCATCAGGTGCTGTGGCATCAAAGTAGAGCCCAATCAAAATGTCGACTTCACACAACTGGTCCATGGGACAGTCGCAGACCAACGCCAGCCCTGCCAACTCTGGCAACGCATGATGTGGACGATATACCTGGCAGGCCATTCGCCAGCCTCGCAGTTGTGGCCCGGCGTCCAAGGGGATCTCCACTTGGTAGTGGAAAGGCGATGGTGGAAGCTGCCTGGTCCCACGTAAACTGCTTTGGCCGGCAGGCTGTTGTTCTCGATCATGACATCCGTCGCAAGCTTTCTGACTGGTAACCCCAGTCGTCCAGCTCGCAACGCTTCCGTCAATCCGAGAGTCACCGCCAGCGGCGCCATTGCCCATTCCCTCATTGCGCGAGGATCCATGTCAAGCCAATGCTCCCGGCGCCCGATTGAGAGAAATGCTGGCATTCTCGGCACCTGCAACGTAGCCAGGCCCTTTCGAACTGCCCACCAACTGGCTGACACCGCGATGGCAAACGCTAGTTTGCCTTTGGGGCATCTGCAATGGAGGAAGGCTGCAGTGAGGCGGCGAGGTTCTGATCGCGCTATATGCGCATAATTGAAACAGCCAAACGCCATGACCCAAGGGGCCAGGAGGACTACCCACCTCCCACAATGCGGTCTTCCAATGCTTGCGCCAATGGGGGCTCCACCACCGGCGCTTGGCCACGCTGCCCAGTCGCCCTGGGTGTGGTTGGCACCTGCAGATTGCTCAGGTCCAGCTCCTGGCTGGCGTTCTTGTTCATCCACTTCAAGGCCTGGAGTGCTGTGGCTGGTGCCTGAGTGTGGTCCAAGTCCACCATCTCTGGAGGAGCGGGTCGCCCCCGACCCTCCAGAAAGGCTCTCAGCTCCAGCCAAGTGTTCACCACTCGGTCGATGGTGGCCTTCTCAGCTTCTTGAACCTTCTTCTCGGCAACCCTCCGGCAGGTCTGTTTCCATTCGGCCTTGAGAGCGTCTGTGAGGATGCCAGCAGGCTTGTAGGAGCCCATACCAATTAGCATAGACACGAGGCCATTGACCCTCTTCTGAACAGCCTCGCTGATGTTCTTGTCCACGTTGATGGCCTTAAGGCTTCTTCTTGTAGATCGTCCTGCGAACAGGGCGGAGAGTCACTGAACCCTTGGGGTTGACCTCTACGACTTTGGCCCCAGCTCCAAGGAGCTCTTCTTCTACCCTTGCTCTCGTCTGGAGCCAGTCATCGGCGACATGATGACCGGCTAGCCCAACTACTTGGTCATAGTCAGTGTAGGCGTAGGTGAAGTCGTTGTCGTCCAAGAGGCCCATGACTCCCTCCACTGACGTGCCCTCTGCGCAGCAATCATCAGCAATGAGTCGGCTGCCCTCCATCCTGCCGCAGGGCCACCCCCTGACGAGGAAGAGGCTGCTGCTTGCGCCGCGTAGTAGCCTTTGCCGCCTGATGCCATGGCACTGCACCCTAACAGTATCGCTATAAGGTGCGGAGAGCAAAAGATGCTGCGGCCAACCCAGAGGATCCTCCTTTGTCATAATGTCAACCTTCCGAAAGCATCTTCCTACGTACTCCACACACACACAGTGCCCGCATGGCTGTGTCCAAGTGGAGCAGGTACTACACATCACCACGCGCACGACCAGCAGA